ATTTATTGTATATAATATAATAATAATTATTTATATTGTAATTATATATATATATATTATATTATAGTATAATATAATATAGTTGTAATTTTTAACTATCCATAGTAATTCAACCTCATAATTTACCAAACGCTATTACATTGATTTTAGAACCAGCACAACTACTATAATTATAGTTTACAAAACACTCAGCTGCTTTTTGTAACAATTACTTCTTCTTTCAGCATAACTAAAAGTAATTTTTTCAAAATCTGCAGCACTACCAAACTAAGCCAATATATAGGTTTTAACAACTTGATCGACTTGTCAAAAAAAGAAAAATGCTACGGATATCATATTTCTTGGCACCAAATACTCTATGCCAATTGGTGCAGAATCTTTTATCCACTAAAATTGGTTCCGGCTTTTAAAGTATATATACGGGGTTCTTGTAAAGTGAAAAAAAGCGAATACAACTCGCGACATCATTTTCTTAATATTTTTTTGAGGTGAATATTTTTGTAACATTAATAAGAAGTATTATATAGATAATTCAGTTTTGATTAGTTTTTTATATCACAGCCACGTTAGTAATTATACGCAAGTACGTAACTATATATTATTGAGAAAATTTGAAAAGTACAAATAATTTCTTATATGGTTTGTTTGATAGAGTTTCTAGTAAATACTTTTGGTTTTCTAGATCTAAAGGATACTTTTGGAAGTGTTTGAATAATATGCTAAAAGAATATTAACTCTTGAAAAAAGCACTGTCAAATTTTTTTTAAAAAAATATAGCTTCTAAGAGCATTTTCAGTGAAACTCTTTAAATTTTAGTTTTTTTTACTGATCAATTAAATTTTAGTTAAGCTATTTTATCTAACAATTTATGGGTGAGTCACTCTAATCATATTCCCTATTTTAACTAACCGTAGAATATTTTAATATTTATTAAATTTAAATATAAATAATTTTATTGAATTTAAAAAAGAACCCGGCCACCGGTTGGTTGGTTGCCAGTTTTTCTGCCCTAAAGATGGAGTTTCGGGCTCCACGGTGAAGGATCTGGTGGTGATTTCAACCTCGTGGTGGGGGAAGAGGTTCTTTGGCGAGGAGGAAGAGTTGAGTCGTCGGGGCTCTAGCCTCGCGTATGTGGTCCTGTGGATCTGCACCCTCGGGATTTCCATCTTCTTGTCGTGGCGTTGCTGTGGTTGGGAGGTGTGCGTGGTTGAGTGCTCAGCATCAAAGATGGTGGTTGCATTTGTGATTGTCAGCATAGGCCGCGTGGGGCCTTGGGTGGATCCGTGATTTCGAGGCTTTGTTCCTGTGGTGCGGTGAAACCTTCAGAAGGTGGCGATGCGTTGATCTCATGCAAAGGCGAAGGGGCGTTTCTTCTACGCTGTCTCTAACTCTGTGTAGTATTGCATTCTTTAGTCTTTACGTTCACAATTGTTGGATTGGCTTTAGTGATTTTTTTCAATGTTGGGGCTATATTTCTTTTTGATTGTAGATGTTTTGGTTAAAATAAAGGCGGAGTTCCGCTCTTTTAGTGTTGCCTTTTAATGTGGTTGAATTTTCATTTTGTAATAAGGATTGTGGTTATATGTCTAACTCAAAAGAGTTCTCTTTTTGCGTGTTGTGTGCTTCTTAGTGTGGATAGTGACCTTTGCACTGTAGTGTCGTGGCCCTTAATCGGTCGAATGCTTTCTTTGATTATTGAGGTCTTGTCAAAATGCGTTATGTGCTTCCCTCTTTGGGCCTTTGGCATACGTATTATCCATTGAGCGTTATCCGAATGTGCTAGTGAAACTGGTTTCTATTGGGGGTTATGCTTTGTATTGTGGAGTCATTCACATTCTCTTGTAGTGCTTTATTATCTTGATACGAATGAAATTGCCCTTTCAAAAAAAGAACCATTGCATTTATTACTTTTGAAAGAATATAAAAATAAAAAAAATAAAATGACTACCCTCTTGTTAGCTATATTTGGCTAAAGGCATTCGTTAAAATAGTTAACAATTTAGCCATTGCTTAGAGTGAAGAAAAGCCAAAAAAAAAGTTAAATTATTAACTATTTTAACTAAAAATATGAAATAATTAACATAATTGAAGATGCTCTAAAAAATAGGCAAATAGGGGAGGAGTGCCACATATTGCGGTGTAATTAATTTTGTAATTTTCTTTTAGTTAAAATCTATCTATTAAATAATCAAAAAAGTTATTTTTAATTGAAAATTGATTTCTATTTATTTGACAACTACGAATAAATAATTTTTTCATGCGTTAGTGTTAAACACAAATATATTAGTGTTAAATGTAAACGTGTGTCGGGACATTATTAGTGAAGTACTAACTTGGTACATGAGACTGCGTCAGGTGAATTTTAATCAGTTCTGAGAATCAAAAGAATTGTCAAAAAAATTACATTAATTCACCCTAAAAATTATTTAGGATAGGAACCATATATAGACATATATGATTAATTTAAGCTTCAATAATTATTAGAATTTATCTATGCTAATAATGAAATCAACATAATTATTCACTTTGATTTGTGCCGCCAATTATTCGAAGACGCTCACTTAAATTATATAAACAAATTAAAAGAAATCTTAGCATGGAAATTTTAAGGTCATTTATCATCCACGATAATATTCATAATTATAGCTCGGTTCTACATTTCATTAGAATAAAATAGGTTTAAGATTTCATTTACCCAAGTCCATTAAGTTAGAATTTCTAAAATTTAGTTTCAGGATTATCTTTAAAAGTTTCAATCCTATTAATTTTCCTATTCTTAATTAAATTCAAATGAGGAATTATCTTTATCAATATTAAAAAAATAATCGTTCAATTTATGATCATTATTCACAATCCAAAATTAAATCTCTTAGACTTGATTGGGATAATTTGAAATCTTTCAAATTTGGATAAAAGTATGGTAGTTTTCATAACACTTCCATTTAAATTTTAAAATAGTATTTTATCAAATGACCATCCAATCCTAGTTGTGTAAGAGCCGCTAGCCCGAAAGGACTCGAACACTTAGAGGTTGTTTGGTTGGGGGATTCGTCCCCCGATTCGAATTATGGTTTGTGGTTCGCTACAGTATTTTCTCTCACAAAAAATACACATAAATCGAAAATGATTTTAATGAAATGGTTCTAATCCATGAACCAAACGTCTCCTTAGCCACCTCAGAATGAAAAGCCATGACTCGTGAGTCCACAAATACTCAAGTGTACTGTAATTTCCATAGAATAATCAACAATAATAGAATTTAATCATAGGATAAATTTTATTTTTGCCCCCTGAACTTTAGTCTCTTTATCAATTTACCCCCTGAACATTAAAAATTGGTATGCACAGCTAGTGTTGGAACTTTAGACGGACCGCCCGTGACTGCCTGAAAATACTGATTTTTTGCCCGATGCCCGACCCGATCTGCCCGAAATTTTCAGGCCGCCCGCCCGAGCCCGAGAAATCCCGTGGACAGGCCGCGGGCCTGGCTTTGGCTGTCCACGCCCGGTCGGGTAGCCCAAGCCCGCCCGAATGCCTGAAAGTATTTTTTTTATATTTTTTAATTTTATAATTATTAAGTTCTTTTGTGTTAAAATTATATAAAAACTAAAATCAATATTCAACACACATTTTTAACACAATTTAATAAATTAATTTTGTATATTAATTTTTAAATTCGTAATTCATGATTACTTTGTTAAAAACCTTATCAAGAAAAACTCAATTGGGATAAAAACTTGGTAACGGAAAAAGAGTGCAATCATTTTGTGACGAATTATAAATTTTACAAACTTAC